CTGTCCATCATGTGTCGTCCTTTTTATCTACTTCGGGAATTTACATCGGTCATTGTAAGTGCCGTTTATATTCCACCACAAGCGGACACGGTCACCGCCTTATGCGAGCTGCATGAGGCACTCACACAACACCGGGACGCTGCGCTTATTGTGACGGGGGACTTTAATAGCGCCAACCTCAAACGCGCAGCGCCGAACTTTTATCAACACATCACCTGCCCCACCAGGGGTGAAAGGACACTGGACCACTGCTACACTACGGTCAAGGACGGCTACAAGGCACAATCCCGCCCTCCGTTTGGCAAATCTGATCACGCCGCCATCTTCCTCATGCCAAAATATAAACAAAGGCTGAAACAGGAAGTTCCGGTTCAGAGGAAGGTCGCGCGCTGGACGGATCAATCGGTGGCCGCGTTACAGGACGCACTCGATGACGCAGACTGGGGCATGTTCAGAAACAGCTCCGACGATGACGTCAACGTGTTTACGGAAGCGGTTGTGGGATTCATCGGGAAACTAGTGGATGATACCGTGGAGACAAAGACTATCACAACGTTTCCCAACCAGAAGCCGTGGGTGGATAAAACCATCCGCAACGCTCTGAGATCCCGCACCGCTGCCTACAACACGGGACTCACAACGGGGGACATGGACCCGTACAAAGCCGCGTCATATAACGTGCGGAGGGCGGTGAAAGAGGCGAAGCAGCGCTACGGGAGGAAACTAGAGTCACAACTCCAACAGAGTGACTCTAGGAGCCTGTGGCGGGGACTAAGGACAATAACGGACTATAAAGCACCAACAACCGGTATGACGAACGCGGCCGTGACTCTGGCAGACGAGCTGAACACTTTCTATGCTCGCTTCGAGGCTGCAGCTAAGGTCTCCAACAATGCTAGTGTTAGCGGCGCTAACGGCTGCAGACAGGAAGATACTGCCAGCACCGGAAACGTGCTCGTCATCTCCGAGCATGAAGTAAGGAGAGCCTTCAAAAGAGTGAACACCAGGAAAGCAGCAGGACCAGACGGCATCCCAGGTCGTATCCTAAGAGACTGCGCATACCAGCTAGCTCCTGTGTTCACTGAGATATTCAACATCTCTTTATCTCAGTCGGTGATCCCCACATGCTTCAAAGAGTCCATCATTGTTCCTGTCCCGAAGAAACCCCACCCTGCTTCTCTCAATGACTATCGCCCTGTAGCCCTCACCTCAGTAGTGATGAAGTGCTTTGAACGCCTGGTCAGAGACTTCATCATTTCTTCACTACCAGACACACTGGACCCACTACAGTTCGCTTACCGTCCAAATCGTTCCACAGACGATGCCATCTCTCATCTCCTCCACACATCACTCACTCACTTGGACACTAGAAGGGGGAATTATGTTAAAATGCTCTTCATAGACTACAGCTCTGCATTTAATACCATAATTCCCTCCACACTCACCACCAAGCTGGAGCATCTGGGACTCAGCTCATCTATGTGTCAGTGGATCTCCAACTTCCTAACTGGCAGACCACAGGCAGTAAGGATGGGCGGACATGTCTCAGCCTCCACCACTCTCAGCACTGGAGCCCCCAGGGGTGTGTTCTGAGCCCCTGCTGTACTCTTTGTACACATATGACTGTGTGGCCACTACCAGCTCCACCACCATCATCAAGTTTGCTGACGACACCGTCGTGGTGGGCCTGATCTCTGATAACAACGAGACGGCCTACCTGAAGGAGATTAGGAATCTGGAGAACTGGTGCCAGAGGAACAACCTCCTTCTAAACGTCAGTAAGACAAAGGAGCTGATAGTGGACTTCAGCACTAAGCAGGAGAGGAACTACCAGACCCCCGTCATCAACGAGTGCCCAGTGGAGAGAGTGGACAGCTTCAAATACCTCGGAGTTCGCATCACGCAGGACCTGTCATGGTCCTGTCACATCAACACCGTGGTGAAAAAGGCCCGACAGCGTCTCTACCACCTCAGACGCTTGAGAGACTTCCAACTGCCCTCCAAGGTGCTCAGGAACTTTTACTCATGCACCATAGAGAGCATCCTGGCGGGAAACATCTTAACCTGGTTCGGGAACAGCACCATGCAGGACAGACGAGCTCTACAGAGGGTTGTGCGGTCAGCTGAGCGCACCATCCGCTCCGAGCTCCCTGACCTGCACTCAATCTACAGCAGGCGGTGCCGGACCAAGGCCAGGAAGATCGTGAAGGACCTCAGCCATCCCAACAACAGACTGTTCTCTCTGCTGAGGTCAGGAAAGCGATTCCGCTCCCTGAAGACCAACACAGAGAGACTGAGGAGGAGCTTCTTCCCGCAGGCGATACGGTCTCTCAATCACACCACCACACAGTACTGACCCACACATATGGTTCTTACACACACACTGGACTTTCTGGACATTGTTTTTGCACAACACTGGTCACTATATTCTTCATTTCCAGTTAATACTTGTACAGCTGCTGTTATTGTGTATATATTTATTTATATTTAGATTTCTTCATACATTCTTATATAGTTCTATATTGTGTATTGTGTATTTTGTTGTACAGTTATTTTATTTTCAACTTTAATTTATATATTTTATCTTATTCTTCCCAGTTAAATTTACCCTTCATTCTAATTTGTGTTGTACAGTTATTTCATTTTTAACCTTAATTTATATTTTATTCCTTCTTAGTTAAATTTACCCTTTTTAATTTTTCATATTTATTTCCTATCTTATTCATAGCCTTTTCCTTTTTTGTTCTCTTTAGGTCACGAGCAGTTGTCCAAGCATTTCACTACATATCGTACTGTGTATGACTGTGTACGTGACAAATAAAATTTGAATTTGAAAATTTGAATTTGGTAATTTTGCTGTAGGGGCTTTGGATTGAGGATTTTACACTTATATTTTGGGATTTTCCAAGGTTACTTCATTTCTGGAATGATTTTCAAAAAACAAATTTAACAGCTTTTGGGAACTGATGATCATTTAGATCCATTACTCTATACTAGCCATATGTCTGTATGATATACCAGATGGAAACTGATACATTTGTCCAGAATTCTGCTCCATTTTGCTCCATATTGACAATATGGCAAGTTGCCTACTTAGGTAGGTTAAGGGGTTTAAATAATGCTCAGTTGGTACTACAGGGCCCAAAGTGTGCCAAGAACATATTCACCACACCATTACATCATTGGCACTCTGAACTTGATAAAAGGTGGGCTTGAGTCATACTTTCATATTGTTGTATCTATTATCAGTAGCTCCGTGCAGGCAGGCAAAGAGTGTGAAACTGCAGCAACTGCAAAGCAGGTCGACTCATGGAGCGATGCCCAGATGAAGCCGAATGAAACCTTAGAGCTCTCCAAGTGGTTCGAAAAGAGTGATGAATTTCTCCAGGCTTCATGTGTACACAAGCCCTTCTGCTGGCTGGTTCTCCCTATTAAAAAGATGGTTTTCCTTCCCACTGTTGCCAAAGTGCTCGCTCAAAGGGGATCTTCTGATTGCTGGGGGTTTCTCTGTTTTCTTGTTATTAAAGTAGGGTCTTGCCTTAAAATAAAAAGAATCTTGAGGCAACTGTTGTAGTTTGGCGTTATATAAATAAAAGTGAACTAAGTTTCAGGACCCAGGATCTTGGAGGATCCAAGGCAGCGCATCTCATGTGGGCGAAAACGCCAATGCTTTGCTTTTTTGTAAATTAAAAAAAGGTATCCTATATAAAATCTTTTTTTTTGTAAAAATAAAAGTACATCAAACGAAATTATTCAAACCTACATGTCATCATAGACACATATTGTGTCATCCTTTTGCATTTTTCTTTTTGTTTCCCGCGGTTAAACTAGTGACAACAGTTTTTATCATTATTTCTCAACACACTGTATAAATTGAGAATTTCTGAAAAATCTAATTTTGATAAATGTTTTAGTTATGAGTTTGAAAGTAAAGTACAATATTTACATACATACATTAGTTATTAAATTATTGAAAAATTATTTTGTAAACAGAAAAAAATAAGGTACAAATCATAACATACATAAAGATCTTTGATAGTGTACATACATACATCTTAACAAATACTGTATTGCACAGTTCAATATCTCTTATCTACTTGAAGTCAAACAGCTCAGCAGTGTCTCCAGCACTTTGTGGAAGCCACAGTCCAACATGGAGAGGCTTAGTGAACCTGGTCTGGACTCTGTGGAGGAGATTCATGGTCTCAGTGATGCTGTAGAAAGACAGAATACCTGCTCTGTGATCCAAATATACTGCTATTCTGGAGGACAGAGGGCCTGAGATGGGAGTGGAAATGTTGTTGTGTTTGAAGTTGTAACCACTGCCTGAAACTGTTAATGACCAGGATTTGTCATTAAATCCAAATCCACATTCCTTCACCGTCCTCTACGGCCGATATCCTTGTATGCAACAGCTACTCCAACCATCCCGTTGCACTTCACCTCCAAGTAACAGTGTCCAGTCAGACCCTCTCTGCTCAGGACCTGCCGGCAAACAAGGAATCTGTCTGGATGACTTGGATATGACTGGTTTCTACTCATCAGTGTTACTTTTCTGTTGCTGTCACTCAATGATAAAAGTGTGTTCACTGTATCTATATCCAGTGTTATCTGACAAGAATATTTCAAAAATTCCTCTCTAGTTGTGGGTTCTCCTTGAGGCAGTAAAATATCAGCTTTGGTCGTTCCAACTGAGATTTGTGGCCACTCATCACTGAGAAGAGCCTTCACTTTATCTCTGGTCCATGACACAGATGCAGTCACATCCTCAAAGTACTGCAGAGTAACATTGTTGTAGGTGGGTACGTTTGTAGATGCACTCAGATGTGACAGTGAGGAGTAGCTTTTCAGAAAATGGAGGTGATCCTCTGTCAGTGAGAGCTGCTGCAGTTCAGTGTCTCTCCTCCTCAGATCTCTGATCTCCTGCTCTATTTTCTCCTGAAGCTCTTTGACTCTGTTCTGTTCCGATTTTTTGCTTAAATCTGATCTGCTGCTTCACCTCAGAGCTTTTCTTTCTCAATGAGACTGATCAAATTTTTGAAAGCCTTATCACATTCTCTGAAAGCTTTATCAGCAGAAAGATTCATAGCCTCAACTTGCTCTTGAAGCACCTTCACATCTTTCTCTATTTTCTGGATTCTCTGTTGGACATTTTGCAGATTTGTTTCAAGCTCTTTCTGTTTCTCAGCTCTTTCGGCTGCAGCTGGCACTGTGACATGATTTTTGTGTTCATTCATTGAGCAGAGATAACAGATACACCGTTGATCAGTGCAGCAGAAGATCTTCATCACCTCAACATCAGGGCAGATGTTGTCCTGAAGCTTTGAAGTAGCATCGATGAGTTTGTGTTTCTTTATTGGAGCTATGTTGTAGTGAGGCTGGAGGTGCTGCTCACAATAAGAGGCCCTACACATCAGGAAGGACTTGGAGGCTTTTTGTTTCCTCCCAGAACGGAAATCATAGGCCATGTCTCCAGGTCCAGCAAAGGTATGATCAGATGAAGCTGTTGAATGTTCTGCTTTCTTTATGTCCTCCACTAACTCACCTAAAATGGTGTTTTTCACCAGGACAGGTCTCGGTGTGAAAGTTTGCCTGCACTGAGGACAGCTGTGTGTTTCATTCTCATCCCAGCAGTTTTTGATACAGCTCATGCAGTAGCTGTGCCCACAGGGAATAGTGACTGGTTCCTTTAGGAGATCCAGACAGATTGGACAGCTCAATTTTTCTTGATCCAGCTGAATCAGCTGCAGCGCCATTTTGTCCAGTCAAATTAAGTTTCACTTTCAGCTACCAGAGAAAATCTGCATTCATTGCCTCCTTACACACTGATCCGTGGTGTGTGGTGTTTTCAGCGCTCGCATTTGATCACATGGTGTTTCGATCCATATTTTAACTGGCTGCTGAGTCAAAGGGGAGGGAATAAACGGACTTTGTACCACTTTAAGACACTCAGTCAAGCCAGCCCCCACCTTAGTTTGCATTACGTGTATGTGCTACACATTACGGTACGGGAAACTTAGACCTAAATCCAAAATAAAAGCAATCTAGCAATCTAGTTGTGAATGTAATTTTAACATTAATCAACGTGAGTCGGTGATCAATGATGTAATATACCATGAGATAAATATCAATACAGAAATAAACATTAAATACAAATTAAAAACTGCCAAAGGCAGAAATATTCAAGTATGAAATACTTATGCATAACCACATTTAGAAATTACAATTTCAAAAGAAGTGTACAGCCATTGCAAGTAAATTCAGTTTCCACAGAGTAATTTTGACACCATTACTCAGGCAGTATAGGGTAAGTAAGTGACTCTGATTTTGGATATCAGCGTTTTGACATCACTTTATACAAACCATTTCCCCCTCTCAAATCACCTTTACATATCTTGAAGTCTTAATTTTCTAATTTGGTTAAGCAAGTTTACGTATGTGGGTTTGCCATATTTGACTATTTTTGTCATTTAAAAGTTATTTTTCATTTCTATATTGGCATGTTTTTTTATTCCATTATTTATTATATCGTCAATGGCAGACTAAAATTGTAGGGTAATGTTGAAATCACGTTCCATTGAAGATCGCGTTTATTTTGAAATCGGTTCTCGGTTTCCCTTACCGTAATACGTAGTATGGACACATACGCAAAACAAAAGGTGGAGCTGTGCAGTAAACTTCAGGAAGTAAAGTGAGGCTGTCTGAAACCCTGATTGATATACCCGAGTACCCAAACTGGAAACCAGTTTTCCCCGTAAAAACTACTACTAACAGCACTAAAATGTCGGAGGAATGGTCTAAAAATATATGGGATGGATTTCCTAGAGAAAAATAAATGTATGGGTTAAAAAAAAGCATCCCGGAAGCCACCTTTTCATGTGCATCGTTTATTTTCTTCCGCCACAGGCACGGGCGCTCGTTCCTATTAGTCCAGCAACATACCTTCACGTCTCAAAATGTCGTGACAGCGTTTCATAATCGTGTTTTGCTCTTTACATTTCAAAAACATGATGAGGATTTTAAATCATATTCAATTACGGTTTGTCTTATTTTTTTTGCTGCATCATGCGGATGTTTTCAGGTTTTCGTCTGGTCAAGGTAAGACACTGACGGCTGCAGCTAGCCTCAATGCTAATAGTACTAATATAATGTTTGTATTTAGGTTGATAATTAACAGTAACACAGGATATTATCTCTGTGTAATATTCGATTAGTCAGCTAGTTCTTCAAAGGGATTTAGATGACTGAAATAATGTGAGAGACGCTGTTTATTCTAACCAGACGTCTATGAATCCGAAACAATTACGTGTCATAAATATGCAAAAAAACCCCAATGAAATCAGGAAAGGAACAGATCCTTTTCACAGGAGTGTAACTGTCAGCTTATGGCAAGAAATCTGATTGTCCTCAGATAAACTTCTGCAGTGATTCACTATTAAAAGTCAGATGGAATGGAAAACAATTACAAATATGTTATATGCACTGAGCTTAATTTTTTTTTCTTTTTGTCCCTTAGAATATGATGACTCACTGGAGCTCATTTTGTCAGAGGACACTTTGTCTGACTTGGAGAACAGCCCAAAGTTTGTAGAGTCCGGAGATCTGGACTCTCTGCCGAAGAGGCAGTTCAAGACAGCTGAGATCGCAGATGCTGTGATGGGCACTGAAACTCCCATCGATCCATCTGACATCGAGTCTCTCTTCCCCAAAAATGTGAAAGACTTTCAGTCAGGCTTCTCCCCGCCCTGTGATGACAGCAGTGCCCAGTGTAGTTCACCGGCTCCAGCTGAGAATGGCGGCTCACAGGAGGAGGATGCTGAATCATCACAGCAGGTTAGTAAGATGAAACTGTGAGACATAAAAAGGGACTGCTGTTAGACTGCAGCCTTAAAGGGTTACCACCTCAGTTACCACAGTGACTGACATCTAAATTGATGTATAAATTCCAAAAAAACCCCCAAAATATAAAGATAATCACAAATTAGTAAATTATTTATTATTAAGGTAAAATTTGCACTTGTGAAGATTTGCAGATTTGTCTTCTAAGATGATTAAGTGAGACAATGAGATCCTTTGATTCTCAAATGTCTTCCTGGACAAATTTACTTTAAGATATTAACACTGGTTGTTATAAACCAACTGACTTAAACCGCTGTGGGATCAATAAAGTCTTCTCCTATCTTAAAAATGAATTGATAAAAAAATCAATAACAAGGTTAATTTAATTTCAGCCTCAGCTTAGTTTTTATGTTTTGACGTGTGCTTGATAATGTCTCACTGAAGATTAGCCCAAATATGTATAGTTATAAATGCAGTTTTGCAGAAACTAACTTTTCCTTGAATGTTTCCCTGCAGCTCACGCTTGACATTGTGCGTGCGGAGGTCATAACGGTTGAGGAGCACAACACCACGGAGACCGCCAAGACGTACAAAGTCAACTGTGATAGACGGAACATCACAGGAATGGAGAACTTCACTGTGCAGGTCCTCAATGCCTCACAGGTATTCACTCCATCCTCTGAGGCACATGTTTACACGCTGTGTAAAGTGTGTAAAAAGTGTGCCACCAATTTCCCAAACATTTACACCAGTTACCATATACAAGATTAATTTATCAACTTTTCTAATGCATCTATTTGTATATTTTTTGTGTGTATAAACCTTTTTGTAAATCAGTTTTGTTTTATTTCATCATAGCATGACTCACTGTTTGTATCGTGAGCATTGTTGTTTGTTGCACCTTTCATTTTTGAGTGAATTTACCAGAATTCAGGTTCTGTTTGTATCCCTCTTATAAAATTCCATGCAGGAGAATTTCCTGTTTCTCTCCTGGATAAAAAACACTAAACCCATCCCTTCTTTTCTTTCAGGATCTAATGGAGTTCCTCAATGCTAACAGCACAGAGTGCTCTGTGGTGCTGTTCTTCACCGCCTGGTGCCAGTTCTCAGCCAACCTGGCACCTCACTTCAACGCCCTTCCCCGGGTTTTTCCCAGCATGCATTTCTTGGCACTGGATGCCTCACAGCACAGCAGGTAAATGATCACCTTTGTTCTGGTTTTAACTGTGTAATCTCACTGTGAAAACCCCTCTTAGAATACTTTTTAAAGCTGTTGTCCTCTGTGGCTCACCACCCCTTAGCATCTATATAGAAGCAGAATATAGCTCATGTTTATTATCAAACAGTTAATTGGATAATTAGAGTAGTTGATAAAAGTTCTTTTGTGTTGAAAATTATAAAAATACAAATGTAGAATAAAGTCTTGTTTGTGACTTTGGTTTTATAATCACATTTGAGGCAAAGTAAGTAAATTAAAGACCAGAATTTTGAAAAGCTGAAAATCATTTTGTTGCAACAAATGTTTGGACTCTATTTTGTGTAAACATCCAAGAATTGATTGATTATGTTCTCATAAAGGGTGCTTATAATAATCTGTATCCCTGTACATTATACATGACATTGTGTAAGTATAATGTACACAGAGGGTTGGTGTGACAGAGGAGAATACTTGGTACAGGATTAGATGGAGGCAGATGATCCACTGTTGTTACCTTTAAAGGAAACAGCTGAAATAAGAAAAATCGACTAACTGCAGACTCAAAAATTGTTTTGAATGCATCTATCATGTATATTCAAAAGATTTTTCTGTAGGTTATTTTGTTGACCAGTGAATATTTAAATCTCTTGCGTGTTATTTTCTTGTAATGCATGTCTCCATCTTCCACCAGCCTCTCCACGAGGTTTGGGACTGTGGCAGTGCCCAACATCCTGCTGTTCCAAGGGGCAAAACCGATGGCTCGTTTCAACCACACTGACAGAACGCTGGATACGCTCACATCTTTTCTTGTTAACCAGACAGGTACAAATGCAGGTTATGTGTTACATTATATAGAGCTTACTGGTTTGGGCTCAAAAGGGTCAGAATTGGGTGGTTGGAAGAACATTTTGAGTCATGTAAAATGAATCTGAACGACCACTCAAATGAAACTTGCACCCATGTGTGATCCAACTCTGTGTGTTCCAGGTTTTGAAGCCGGCCCTGATAGAAATGTGACAGACGTAGACCGCCTCGGTCCCCTCCCTAGCGTTCCCGTGAGGAGCATCGACTGGCTGCTGGTCTTCTCCATCCTCTTCATCACAAGCTTCACTCTGTACGCCATCCTGCGGACCGACAGCATACGCTGGCTCATACCCGGACAAGAGCACGAGCATCAAGACTGAAACCTCACAGACTGTTCGTCAAGAATGATGTAAAGAATTGTTCGCTAAACAGTTTAGTTTATTAAAATGGCTAATGTGCTCATGTTTTAAGTGTTTGAGTGAAATAAAAACATTTGAGCTCTTGCAGTTTAGAATAAAGATTTGCATTAAAAGTAACATTTTGAGGCTGTGTGCGAGAAGACAAACTGTGCTGTCATTTTTTTTTGTGCCTTTTAGTTGATGTTCAGCTGAACCCAAGTAAGTCCAAAGTACAAAAAAACAAAATAGTTGACATGTCTGTACAAACACTGCTCCTCTCATGCAGGCACACTTTGCTCCTCTTCCTCCTCCTGGCTCTACTGTGTTTTGTTGTCTTGCAGTCCCCTGATTCAGCTGCACTGAACAAACATGTAGGCTGCAGTGAGTGAAAGAGAGGAACATCCTGTGGAGATATTTTACAGCTGTAAATGAAAACATTGCAAACAGTGATGTGTGTAGGAAGGAAATTCTCTGTTGTGGCAGCAAAAGAAAAGAGGACAGAGGCGCAGACCCCCTGGCACAGGTCAGAGGTCACTGGCAGAGTCCTTCCAAAGGATCAAAGAATATTCCGTTAGCTTATACAGTGGTGAAAATGACGTTTCAATCATGGCATATGTCAGATGTTCAGTAGTAGTGTTAATTAATTGAAGAGAAATTTGTCATCATAGTTGTTACTTTAGCAGACTGATACCTATAGGGTGTATTAAGACATTCTATATTTATATATTTAACCTAATGAAACGTGTTCAGTAAGTAATTTTATTTAAGTGAAAAAACACCTCAAACATAAAATATCTGGCTATAGCAACTCTTTTGGGTTATTTTTTATTTATATAAGCACACAACAGAAATTGCATCGAAATCCAGTTTGAAAAACACATGAAGACGAGCGAAAAGTGACTTTTGTCATGTTAGATAATTAGCAGTGGAAAGCAAAAAATCACATCATTTACTTGTCCTTAAAAAGCATTCACAAATCCATGGCTCTCGGCTATATTTGCAGTATCATACCACTGCTTCTCAATAGAAAACCAGACTCCATTGGAAAAATGCGTGATTTTAATCAGGCACTACGTTAAACAGCTATGGCAAAGTATGAGAGGGCAGTAGAGGAAGAGCAGAGGGGGCATTGGTAGGGAGAGAGGACAGCTGACAGTTTACTGATAATGTTTAGGTTAATGTTTAGCCTGAGGACAGGCAGCCTTCTACACCTGCCGAGCAGCTTGAGGGCGCCTCCGTTCTGCAGCAACAACTCATCTAAAATGGTGAGTAATGTAGTGACAGGATTTAGCATTAGCATTAAATAACAGAAGAAACAAACTCCACGTGAGGAAAGTCTGTTTTTGAACACAGCTAAGTGTGTGGGTGCACTCCCACGTGACAAGCCAAGCACCGTTCCGACGTGTAGCCTCCAAAGTACCCAGCTCGCGTCGTTCTATCACGTGAGAAACCGTACGCTGAACTCTACCAGGAAAAATGTAAATACAAACTTTAAGGCGCCCATATACGTTAAGGCGCAAACGATTAAAGTGTGTAACAGTTTTATGAATTGCTCTTATGCTGTTCTTTAATTCGGCGTTAGTAGTTTTTTAGATTTCTCAGTTAATTTGATCCCTTTGCTTTTTACGTTGGCATTTGGCTCATGTGCAATAGAAATGTGAGCGGGGCGAGGTTGGTATTCATATTATTGCGAAGTTGAGATTAACTGTATATTAAAAGTTAACCATCACATTTATTTATTATTTTAGCCTGTGAAATGCCTGCATTTTGTACGCTTTGTTAGGGCTTGGTTGAGACTTTTAGAGTAGGGCGGGGCTTGAGTGGAGTCCCGTCCAAATCCGTTATTTAAACCAATCAAGTTAGGTCCCTTATGCAGGTTACACCCAGGTAAGCCTGACCTGTTGTCCTGGGAAGGACGGCGTTAACGTTCATTTTTGGGTCTAGACCGCCACCTTTTGGACGCAGCGTGAATAGCAGTCAGAGAACTCCTAATACTAGACTAAGCATGTGTGTAAAGGTTGAATCAGCACTTTTCATTATAGTGCAAGAAATTTTTTTTACAAAAAACGTGATTTGTCCTTTATAATTCCAGGGCTAAAGAGTTTAACCGTAATATGATTTTGTCCAGTCATCAGACTCACACTGGCTCTCCCCTGAAGACCGGGAGCAGCTATTGGTCGAGCTCAGGGCCACAGGCTGGATGGAGGTGGAGGACCGTGATGCCATCTTCAAAGAGCTTCACTTTAAAACCTTTAATCAGGTGTGTGTATTTATGTTAATATAGTAATTAGCTTTGTTGAAGTCTTAGATCTAATTAGGGATCTATGACTTAGAATTTTATTTTTTTTATATTGCTGTTATTTTTTCATCACTTCCTTTGATTTGAGTTTAGACCTAATTTAGATTATGTTTATGTAAGGCTAGCCATTCATGATCAGGTGCAGTTAGGTGTATCTAACGTCTTCTCCCCTTTCCCTGTCATGCATGTGTGCACTTTTTTCAAAATATGCATAGGTCCTATTCTTGATTTACCACGTATAGTTGAGTTGTGGCGGACTAGTCCACAAATTGCAGGGATGGCGATTCTATCACTGTCTTCTTCTGTCCACATTCCCTTGAGCAAAACCCTGAAACTGTAATTGCTTCCAAAGGACAGGCAGGCGCCTCTCTCTGCCACGATTAGTATGCAGTTATGCGTGCAAAAGATTGAACGACAGGCAAAAATCAGCAGCTAATTCGACATCTAGGCACCATTGCATATGGTGATTGAAACTGAAGTGTCTGTTGTCATTAAATCAAGCGCAGGATGTAAGATGCTAAAGGTGTAATAAAAGAAAAGTGCCTCAAAATAACAGTTTTATATAAGTGCTGGGATCACAATATCAGACCACAACAGCCATGCCTGCACAGCTGGATGGTGTGTAAATGGTGTTTCTTTGAATTTGACATAAAGGGGGGGAAAAAAGAAACATGCACATCTATTTCTGTCTTAGTGGTCTTTTTTTATTCCAGGTGGCCAGTAGAGTCTGGGATGAAGCAGTCATTTTTCCAGTTTCTGTAGCCTTGAAAATCTGTTCACCTATAGGAGGGTTGTTGCACGCTGCCAGATGCATGCCCAAAGTGTTGATCGGAAACTCATAATTTCAGCTGTGATTCTGGTAGCATACTGAGCATAAAATTGTGATATTGAAATCAGTAGTCAGACATGTCTCCACAGGTTATAACTGTGTCAAGTTTCAGCATTTTTTCTGAAGTACTTATGAATGACCTAAGACACCAAATGTGCAGGATAATAACATCTAGGGCTTGGTATTGTTTAAAAACAATACTGTGATTAGCGTTCTTCGTGTCAGTGTCATCAATGAACTATTGTTTGGTTGTTATGCAATATCTCTGACTTGGTTTACGTGACACTGAATTATAGAAATTTTGTGGTTCAAGAAAAGACATGAAGTTGCAGGAAAAAGTTAGTGATTTAAATAATATTACGTCCCCGGCCTGGGGTAACCTGGATGTAACATGAGGTGCAGCTACCCACACCAACCACACCGAAGAAAAGGCCAGAAACAAACAAAAGACAAATCTCCAACTTAAACTCATAACCAATAAACAAGACAAAAATGGTTCAACAAAAAAGTTTTCTTACTCCTGCTACTGCTGCAGTGCTCAATATATATACAGTGTAATAGTCAAAATTATTTACAAATCTATTTATGAACAAACTGGTTTGTAGCTTGCAGTAATACAAAGCACACTGCTCAGTCCATTCTACTCACTAACAGACATTCAGATCAGATTCCTCATACTTAGCAAGTATATTTAAAAAAAAATGTATCTAAATTAAAACACTTTTCCCTCCAATTATATTGTGGTTTCGCGCCTTATACTCTGCTTTTTCGTTTTCTCAACAAAAACTACAATTTTAAATAGAAGCAGTGCCCGTGTTCTTATAATTCCACCAAACTTGCCAAACAGTGCGTCTGTGTTTAATATTTACTGAAAAAGGGAAGCTGAAGAAAACCCTTGCCTTAAAAACTATTATGATTCCCATTGGGGAATATTATTCAAAGAATAACTAAAACAGACCATGAATCCAAACAAGCCCTGAATGCCAGATTGTTACTTTAGTCTAGAGACACTTTGAGGCAGTGCTCAGGACGTTCAGTGACACCAGGATAGTTTAATTGCACATGTTGCAGAGGTCTGTTCTTTATATAATTTGTGCCACTATCCATAAAAACCAGCATCCATCCTTTGAATATTTATCACGAAGTGTTTAAATTTTAAGTGCTTCTAAAGACACACAAGGACACAGTGCAAGGATACTTTGGGATGCTAATCAGAGTCAACAGTAAAGTATGGTAATATTTGAGTAGGGCGAATATGCCGGGCGGCGGTGTAATCCTTTATTTATCCAGATAAAAGTATCATTAAGATACCCAACCATGAGGGCATCTGAAGTTACACCAAATACAATGCATAACAATATAATGCATAAAGAAACAAATACACCTAGTATTCCATACAGACAAGTGAACCTGATCATGTGAACCATGTGCAATAACAGGATGGCGGTTAGCACTGTTGCCTCACAGTAAGAAGGTCTGGGTTCAAATCCAGCTTGGTCTCTTACTGTTTGCATTTCGCATTCTCTCCTCATGTCTGTCTGCATGGGTTGTCTCTGGGAAATTCCTGCTTCCTCCCACAGTCCAAAGACATGCATGGGGTTAGGTCAACTGGTGTTTCTAACTAAAATGACTCTAGGTGTATAAGTGGGCATGACAGCCTGAGACGCTGAATTGGATAAGTGGAAGAAAATGGATGGATGGAAAAATATGCAGGTACTGTATGAGGTACTTAGATGAAATGGACAGGTGCACATTGGTGGTACAGTTTAGCTCTGAATTTTCAGGATTGCACTGAAAGTAAGTGTTTCATTTAAAATGAATTATGGCAATTTATCAGAAGGTTATTTATAATATTTATATAGTTATTTATAATATTGGTGACTGTGTCTACTGTAACACAGTTCCTGAGAGCTGCCTGGCAGCTGAAACTAGTTCTCTTGCTTCCTGGGGTAAAACAAACATTAAATATTCTTTTCAAAAGTTTTTTGGCACGTCTTGTAAGCAGCTGCTCCGTTCGCTCACTCTGTGCGGGGCGAAGTAAACTGCAGCATCTCAAGGCCACTTAGCGGACTTCCTCTAATCCCATCGTTAGTTGTTTTAGTCCCTAAAATAGTCTGTTTTTACACTTCCCCATGTTTGAAGTCGGAGGGTGAGCGCTGACCTCCCCCATCTACTCCTCCTGGCTCTAAAGCCTCTCCTCTTACCCCGACACGTCAGGCTGCATTACTCTGAGACTCGCCAGGAGGCCAGTTGGCAGCAATTAGGGTTTTGATCAGAATGATTTCTTTCACAAACAATCAAATTGGTTAAAATGTTTCATCTGGTTCACAAACCACTAACAACCCCATCATTCCTTCTGCTGTGCATCGCTTTCTCTCTTCTTTTTCTCTTCTTCTTTTTCTCTTCTTTTTTTTTTTTAAATTCTTACTTGTTGCCACCCTCCTTTCCCCTGTCTCTGCCTTTCAGTCTTTGTCTGTCTCTCATTCCCATTCTGTGCCCCATGTTATTGGGGGAATGAGCTCATGTTGTTCCAATTTTACATGCTGGCAGCTCGCTCTGTCTGTCTGTCTCTCTATCCTTCTTTTTCACCCTCTTTTATTCTCTCCAGACACCACTCAAACTCTCTGATGCATTTTCATAAACTCTCCAGCTCGTTTTTCATGGCTGCTCTTAAAGGGCTTTTACCGAAGGGGAATGGAGATGAGGAGCGACATGCTGGCTGATTTCCATTCGCCACTTATCTCCAAGTGATGGGCTTGAGGAAATCAGATCCCCAAGAGTTTATAATGAGAATAACAAATCCCCTTCCTGTGTATCAAAACACTTCCTCTCCTGATCTCTAGGGGGCGGTAGAGCCATACTCATGCATTGAAGTGAGTACAGCAAGTTGAGCGAATTCATGAGATGCTCAAGAGCTGGAAATGAATTTAAAAGAAACATGGCAGCTGGGATTGCTTCTTTGAGTTTATTTTTCTTTGATTACAGCAAGTGGAAAGTGTTATGATGCCTTTATAAATGGCTCAGGAGTTTAGCTGCGGCGTGTGGGTATACAGTGTGATGTTTGTGGCATTAGTCGGAGGAGTAACTGTGAGTTATTTTTCCTGTCAAGTCCAGTCTGTTTAATGTGCTTTGAGAGGTGAAATCCTCTTTCTGGAGTCGCTTTGGTCAGTGGGAGTTATTGCAATCACATATAGACGTACGTGTGTGTGTGTGTGTGTGTGTTTAATACTGTAAATCTGGGCTGGAATTGAACATGTTCTAAGTTGTGGTCGCTGATATTGTTTACACATCAAGCTTTATGTTATGTATGTTTACAGATTACCATCTGCTATACATTTCGGTGGATGAAGTGGAAACTTTCATGCGACACAAGTGAAACGGGTAGCTTTCGGGTGCAGCTTGTATAAGAGAGGGTGAGCTGTGCATGCTCAACTGTTGTGTTGTGTTAGCTGAGGTTGACATCGATGGCATTCCTCCTTCTCCCACAAATATTCAGTCAAGCAGCCCTGGGAAAAAAAAATCACTCAAAAGCTACATTTAGGATAGAGGGGAAAAATGGCCGGTTATTATCTTCAGTCTTTCTTGTAAAGTAAACAAGGGCAGTCTTAACCTAAGGAGGGAAATTTTTAATGGTTAAATATCTGCATCCATAGCATGCTCCACTGTTTTTATTAGAGGGATTAAAAAGCAAATGGGTATGAGCACCAGTGAAGAGGTTATTAAATTTATCAGTGATAGTATTGTTGGCAATTAATGTTATTTTTGGACAATTTTCAATCGTTTTGAAGTTTTCATTCATAAATTATTTTAAAAATAAAAGTATTTATTTTTCATTTATTTAAACAGGTAATCCCATCAGAGATTGAATGTCTCATTTACAAGAGAGACCTGTTTCAGACGAGCATAATAAAATTACAACAGTTAAATAGAAACAGTAAAATAGTAAAATATTGCTCAATGTTTACGCATCTGGTTCATTTCTGTTTTCCACACAAAACATTGCCTTGAATGTTCATTTTAATTGTGCAACATGTTTGTTTGTAATTGTGTAATCATTGATGATTCGGGTCAATTTATTTTATTTATATGGCTCCAAATCATCATCATCATCTTTATTTATAAAGCACTTTAA